GTTGTTTGTTACTAAATTAAAGTAGCTAGAGTTATTTTTACTGCTTTTTTCCCTTTAATCTTTATGCTGTAATTAAGTTTTTAATAACCTATTCTGATATAGAATAAGTTGCAGTTTTTTTATTCTGTCTGTCCATTTACCATTTTACTCAAAGTTTTGTGTACAGTACTTTTCCCTTTTCATTTCAGGTAGAAGAGCTTCTTTCAACGTTTCTTTTAAGGCACATCTAATGTTGATGAGCTCAGTCAGCTTTTGTTCGTCTGGGAACGTCTTTATTTCTCCTTCATATCTGAAGGATAACTTTGCTAAATAGAGTATTCTTGGGTGATGGTTTTTATCTTTCAGTATTTCGAGTATGTCCTTCCACTCTCTCCTGGCCTGCAGAGTTTCTGCTGAGAAGTCTGCTGATAGACTGATGGGGATTCTTTTGTAGGTTACCATCCTTTTTTCCCTGGCTGCCTTTAGAATATTCTTTGTCATTGACTTTTGACAGTTTTAATATACCGTGTCTTGAAGAAGGTCTTTTTGTATTGAAAAAGAAGGTCTCTTGGCTTTGTGGACTTGTCCATCCAGTTCCCTCCCCAGGTTTGGGAAGTCCTCAGCTATTATTTCTTTAAATAAACCCTCTGCACTCTTCACTCTCCCTTTTCCTTCTGGGATACCCATTACCCTAATGATGCCCTTCCTAAAAGAGTCAGATGGTTCTATAGGATTTCTTTACTTTTTAGATCTTAATTCACTCTCCTCTTCTCCCTGTATCATTTCTAGATTTCAATCTTTAAGCTCACTAATTCTCTCTTCCATGTGGTCTGCTCTATTTCCAGTGCTTTCTAATGCATCCTTCATCTCATTTATTGAGTTCTTCAGCTCCAGAATTCTTATTTGGTGCTTTTTTTGAATTTCAATCTCTTTGGTAAAGTATTCCTTCTGTTCATTCATTTCATTCCTGAGGTCATTGAACTGCCTTTCAAAGTTTTCTTGTAGCTGGTTGAGTATCTTCATGACAGCTATTTTGAATTCTCTGTCAGATCACAGCATTCCGTGACTTTAAATTTGGTTTCTGGAGGACTGTCATTTTCTTTTTGTGGTACTGTGTTACCATGGTTCTTCATGGGGCTTGATGAGTGCTCCTCTGCCAGTGCATTTGAAGTGGTGAACATGTTTCTTCTTTAGGTAAAGCTTTTTTTTTTTTTCCTCACTTGATTGTAGCTATTCAATAGGTTAGTAATTAGATGCCTTTCTTTTGTTTCCCAGTAGGTGGCGCTATAGCACAAGTTTTTGGTTTCTCTTACCCGCGCTGGTTATTTTTGAGAGCTAGCACTTTCCACCCTCCACTGTCCGTGTCAGAGGTGTCGCCTGGTGCCCTCCTTGTCACTATTTCTGTCTCCAGGGTTGTCGGTTCCTTGCTGCTGCCGGTGTTGCTGACAGTGCCATCTGGGGCACGGAGATGGCCGGCACTGCCTTCACCGTCCCTCTGGTTCCACCTACTTTATGTGTTCCAGTCCACCCACCCTTAGATGACAGAGGTGTGGAACTCTCCAGCATGCTGCTGTGTTGGGCCGAGGAACCTTTGTTGAGTTATGGAAGTTTTACTGGTTTTACTGGTCGTAGATGGAAGGGGAGAGACAAAGGGAGTGTCTCACACCCCCCATGATGTTGATGTCACTCTTCCAAATGGGCACATTTTAAATACATTTGATAGGATCATAAGGGTAAACTTTTCTGTATTTTACTAAGCAGTAGGTCTAAATGGAATCAGAGGAAAGTGGTCCTTGTTCATGTTTACAATTCAAGCGGTTACATATTTTTTAAGTCCTGAAAGATGCTTTATTAACTGTAAGGGTTCTCTTATTTCTTGATTAAATTTAGCAAGAAGCTTACTATGAAATGTTATTTGCTGGCTGGCTTTCATAGTGAAGTGTTTCACTTTACCCTGATCTAAAATAGTGTGCCTTCCAAAGCTACTAGTGACAGATAAGAGCAGGAATACAACTTTACACAGTCAAGGAACATTTGTTTCTCTTATAATGCACTGTTTCAGGACTTTGTCCCCTCTCTGGGTCTTTTCCTTTTTTTAATCTTAAACTCTAAACTATAGAATTAAACTCCTTGACTAAAGTTTTCTGTAAGACAATTTATCTTCTTTGTTCCAGAACTCTGGGTGGCCTACATTTCTTTTGTCTTCAACAGTCTTGCTCTTGAATGAAAGACTGCTCCTTTCATGTTAGTATTAGTCACTCACACATATGAAAGAACGCCTGCCCTCTTGTGTCCATAGAGACTGCTACAATAAGGAGTGAATTAGCAAGTTTATCATGCCAGAAATACAGAGTTCTCTCCTGTGGAGATTTGTAACCAGAGTTTGCTCAAGGCTGCCAAGTATGGCTGTACAGTTCAAACACTGCAGAACAACCTCAGCCCAAGAGCTGAATGAACAGTCATTGAAGGGCTTCCCTGGTGGCGCAGTGGTTAACAGTCCGCCTGCCAATGCAGGGGACACGGGTTCGAGCCCTGGTCCGGGAAGATCGCACGTGCCACGGAGCAACTAAGCCCGTGCGCCGCAACTACTGAGCCCGCACTCTAGAGCCCGCGAGCCACAAGTACTGAAGCCCTGGCACCTAGAGCCCTTGCTCCCCAGCAAGAGAAGCCACCGCAGTGAGAAGCCTGGGCACCGCAACGAAGAGTAGCCCCTGCTCACCGCAATTAGAGAAAGCCCGCGCACAGCAATGAAACCCAACGCAGTCTAAATAAATAAATTAAATTAAAAAAAAAAAGCAGTCATTGAAATTCATCTCATACTTTGCTTGTCAGTCATGCCTCCTATGTCTAGACTGTGTCTTCTCAGAGGGGTTGCCCATTAAAATTTCATTCAAGGCTGCCATCCCCTCATAAAGCTTTGCACCACCTGAAGTGTGCATCCTTCTGTCATTTATGCAGATCTCCGTATTGGCTAATGACGGCCTCGTGGAGGCCCATTGTGAGTTAGTTGTACACTGCTCTCATCATGTAACTTCCCTACTCAGAAGTTTCCAGGAATTCAGATTCAAAATTGGAGGTGAATGACATCACATAGTCCCAGGTTATCAGAGGAAGGGAGTAAGGAACAGAGAGGCAAGAGGAGAAGTGCTAAATTTGTTGGTGGCGATGCAGGGAACTAAAATGCCGGCCTTCTGACTCCCAGCATACACGCTCTGAAGTCTTAGGCGATCCCGTTATTTTACCCCACCCCACCTATCCCTGTCAGGCCTAGAGTAAATGCACAATAGCTCGTTTGTTGAGTGAATGAATGAATGACTGTCTTTGCCCGGCTTCCCAGAACACGCGCTCTCCTGTGCTACATCTACTGCTGTGCACCTTCACTCATAGTGTTGTCCCCACCTGGGATGCTCACTGCTCCCTACCTGGTCAGCACTTACACAAGCTTCAAGACTCAGATCCACTTCCTCCATGAAGCTCTCCTCTTCCAGCCTTCATTAAGCCAGAAGAGGGAGCGCCATGGAGGCTGAGCATAGGTGTTCAGACTTAGCAGAAGAGCCCTGGACTGGATCAAGGACCCGCATTCCAGGCCCAGGTCTGCCAGGAGCTGGCTCTGTGATCCTGGATAGATCCCATCACCTCTACTCTCGGAGCGTCATTGGTGTTGCTCAGTGCATGACATGCATAGTTCTAGTGAGGTGACATTAGGGACTTCCTGAAAATGTATTTTCTTGCATGTTAATAGAAATGTATTTGCTTAAATGTACTGGTTTTTGGGGGAAAAAGCCCCAAAAACATTAGACCCATGGTTCCTTGGATATTATTTTATGTGATAAGGCTAAGTATTTTAAGTTTAAAAAGAGAGCTCATGTAAGGAGAAATATTAAGTAAAGCATAATACAAGTAGTAATCAGACATGGCAAAAATAATAAAGTAGTATAAAAATGGTGGGAGTTTGCGAAGCCCTGGAGGAGCTCACCACCCTGGTTCCTTTTAACTCTCCCTGGGCTCTTCTCTGACCTTAATGTAGCACCGCCAGTTTGTCCATCACTGTTAGTTACTGACGACAATACAGCCTCTCTCGTTGTTACAGCTGTGTCTGATATTCCTTGATCTCTACCACACTCATCACAAAATAAATCACACAATAGGCCTTTTAAAAAGACTTGTGGGCTTCCCTGGTGGCACAGTGGTTAAGAATCCGCCTGCCAGTGCAGGGGACACAGGTTCAAGCCCTGGTCTGGGAAGATCCCACATGCCGCGGAGCTACTAAGCCCGTGCACCACAACTACTGAGCCTGCGCTCTAGAGCCTGCGAGCCACAACTACTGAGCCCGCATGCCATAACTACTGAAGCCCACGTGCCTAGAGCCTGTGCTCCGCAACAAGAGAAGTCACGGCAATGAGAAGCCCGCGCACGGCAACAAAGACCCAACATAGCCAAAAATGAAAACAAACAAATAAAATAAATTTATTTAAAAAGAAGACTTGTGGCTCTGCTGATTTTCCAACATTTGTAAAACACATTGACCCAGAGTGTCAAAACCATGTTCACTTTTATAAATGTAGATACTTTTTCTACTTAAAAAAATTATGTAGACTCATAACATAAAATTTGGAAAATACAGAAAAGGAGAAAGAAAGAAGGCATCCGTATTCTTACTATCCAACAATGAATCCTGCTAATATCTCCCCCTAATTAAAAGTTCTCCTGGAAAATCCTAGCAAGTGAGGATCTACTCTGTTCGTCATTTTGGAAACTTGGAATAGTCCCGAGTTAATGTATTCTTGTCATCCCAAATCATAAAATCAAAATTTTTCAATGGCAAATCCAGGGATGGAGGTCCACTGGCACCTTTAGAAACGGCAGTTGAGTAACTCCCACAGAGGGGAACCGAAGCTGGGAGAGGATCATAGTAACGGACAGTGCAGAATGCACTGTGTACACAAAGCTCTGTGCTAACGCTGATGGCTCAATATTTTGCATATGTGTTATGCTGATTTGTATATTCCTGTTTCCTGTAGGGTTTTTGGAGTCTCTGGACGACTTTTACCTTCTCAGCAGTGGTTTGGTATTGCTGCAGACCACAAACAGCGTGTATAATAAAACCCTACTGCAGCACGTGGTACCCAAGTCTCTCCTGGCCTGGCAAAGAGTCCGGGTGGCCAATATGATGGCAAACGGAGGCAAGCAGTGGGCAGAGGTCTTTTCAAAATACAACTCTGGTAAGTGGCCCCGCAGAATAACTTTTAGGCATGTACGTACATTTAGATCTGGAGTTAACCAGTAAAGCCATACCCATGCCCTGTCTTCATGTCTCCCGATATTTCAGGCACGTATAACAATCAGTACATGGTCCTGGACCTGAAGAAGGTAAATCTGAACTACAGCCTTGGTAAAGGCACTCTGTACATCGTGGAGCAAATTCCTGCATATGTAGAATATTCTGAACAAACCGATGTTCTGCGGACAGGTATTTTCTTCATGCTAGAAGTCTGGAAGTCTGATGTGTGTGTGTGTGTGTGTGTGTGTGTTTGTGTGTGTGTGTGTGTGTGTGTGTGTGTGTGTGATGGGTAATACTTGCTGTGTGAATGTATGATGCGGGGAGTATATGGTGGGGAAGGAAGGAGGGGAATGCCGTTGCTAGTCACACAGGGAAAGAATGACCAGGTTCAGCACAACATGTAAAACCTGCGCCTCAAACTCTTACGTGACAGCATGATCTACCCTTATGCGTAGACTGGGACAAAGCCAGGCATTCACAATCTTAGGACTACTTACGGTTCCAGTGTTACCTTCCCTGCTGGGTTCCCAAGTAAAATTTTAGCTCAGCGACTATTTATGGGAGTGCTACTCTGGCCCAGGGACTGGAAAAGCGTGGATGTAGAATCCCCAACACACAATCTGATAGGGAAGCAAGGCACCTAAAGAAGCTATTAGAACCCAGAAAGCAAACAGCAGTGATACGCTCTGGTGTAGCAAACCTGGTGGTGACGCTGTCAGTGGGAGGGATGAGAGAAGGCGGTTCTGGAGGGCAGGGTCACAGCCCAGACGTTGGAAGTGCTGGTTTTGGAGTCACATTGCCTTGATTTGACGGTCTGTTCCTCAAAATCTTATCCACTCTGTCCAAGCCTTACTTTCTTCATCTGTAAAACCTGACAGTAATGGTACAGGTCCCTAGTCCCTTACTCGTAATTACAAAATCCCAAAACTCTAAAAGTTCTTTGTTCGTCTTTTGTCCTAGCTCACTTGTGGTAGCCGAGTATGACCTGATCTGAACTCACTCGGCAGCAAAAACTAACTTGAACTATTTATGGCCTCTATTTATTTCCTCTCCTCTGGAGAGGATTTATACATCAGGCTACAGAGTTATCAATGTCTTTGATTATGAGGGGCTCCCCACAGAGACTGCAACATCATCTGTAATTTACACATTGCTGTTCTGCAATCTGGAAAACCCTGAATTCTGAAACACATCTGGCCCCCAGGAGTTTTGCGATGTGGGAGTGTAGACCTTTGCAATTTCACAGGGTTGTCATGATAATTAACTGAGATAATTTTTGTCGATTCTTGAGCACATTGCCGACACTTAGCAAGTCCTAACATCTTGCATTGAACATAGTGCTCAGCACACATAAGAAGTCCTCACTGAATATTTGTTAAATAAATGAAAGAGAAGATGATGTCTGCGTGGAGGTTTACAGGCTAGAAAGGAGCTCAGCAATTTGACAAGGGGACAAGGTCAAACAACTAGAGGCATGAAGACTGTGGTGTGAAGGAGAAACTATTAGCCCAAGACAGCTAGAGAGAAGGCTGTGACACGGAAGATAGGTAGTCAGAGGAAAATACAGCCTTTGGATCCTGATGAGCAGTCAGTTTAGCCTTTATACAAAGTCCAGAGATAAACCCATGAACCTATGGTCACCTAATCTACGGCAAAGGAGGCAAGAATATAAAATGGAGAAAAAACAGTGTCTTCAATAAGTGGTGCTGGGAAAACTGGACAGCTACTTGTAAAAGAATGAAATTAGAACACTGCCTAACACCACACACAAAAATAAATTCAAAATGGATTAAAGACCTAAATGTAAGACTGGACACTATAAAACTCTTAGAGGAAAACATAGGCAGAACACTCTTTGACATAAATCGCAGCAAGATCTTTTTTGACCCACCTCCTAGAGTAACGGAAATAAAAACAAAAATAAACAAATGAGACCTAATTAAACTTAAAA